GATTTCATTTTAAAAATGAATATTCCAAGCGTATAGCTGTAGAATCTCTACAACTAGTAAGCTAACATCAACTCATTTAGGATATCAACCTAAATTAGACTAAATTCAAAATGAGAAATGGCTGTGGAGTTGAAATTAAGCATTCTAATCCATCCTTGCTAAGAAATGTAAGGATATGTGACATCAGATCTGACTGGACACTGCGCTAGGAATGCTCGTCACTGTGCTAACTCGTATGTCCTTCCATGGGATCTACTTCCTCACCTGTGGTTCTTGTTATCCTACTCTGGGAGCTTAAGACCCAGTGGAAATCAGTCCAAAGGCTGGTGTGGGTCAATGAAATTCTCTTTAAGAATGTGAGTATCGAGATATAGATATTCCAGTCTATCTTCTACATCAACACCAGTTATAACAGAGCAAAGCATACAGTAATATGTGCATCTCATTTCCCTGCTTTAAAAATCTGCTGCCTATTCTTGAAACTCTTCAGCCTAAGATTATCTGGGCTCTGCTATGCCCTTCCAGAGCCCTTCTCTTCAACCTGGCACCCAATACTGTAATCACTGTGTGGTAGATTAAAAATGACCTCACATTTTCTGCCAATCTTCCTATTGAGAGGTGTGATTATTTCTCCTAGCCTTGAATCTGAGATGGTCCTGTGACTGGCTTTGATTCAACAGAATGTGGAAGAAGTTAAAGCTGTGTGACTTCTGAGGCTGGGCCTTAAGATACCTGTAGCTTCTGCATGCTTGGAACGCTCCCTCTTGAATCCCAACTACCATACTGTAAGAAACCCAAGGCATGTAGACAGGTCATATGGAGGAGAACCCTGACACTTGGGTCAACAAGCTGAGCTCCCAGCTGACAGCCAACACCAACTGTCAGCCATGTGAGGGGACACTTTTAGAAATTTCTGGCCAAATGGACCTCTCAATGACTGCAGCTCCAGCCAACACCACTTTGGAACAGAAGAACTACTCTATTGAACTCAGCCAACCACAGAATTGTGAGAAATAATAAAAGGTTG